GCCCCTCCACACCTCCGAAGGATTCCTCTGCGCCTCCTTGCTTTTAACGCCCGGTACCTTTGGCAGGTCGCAAAGGAGCCGGGGAGAAAAGCGGAGCCGCCCCCCAATTTGCGCCCCTGCTGTTGGTATTTGCGGAGCGCGGAGGCGATACCCCCCACGGGCAGAGCCCCTCTCTGCATCCAGTGTTTCCGGGGAAGGAGGGGCGAGCCGCTCCACCGCGGTTCGAGCTGCGCCCACGATGGCAGGGGCGCAGGGATTGGGCCCAGGAACAGCTTCTCATCGAAATGCGGGGTGGCTCAGCCCTCCCCGCGGAGAGGGGAGCGGCGAGTCTCTAAGTGCGAGAAGATAAATGCAGGGTGAGGCGCCCCGACGGATGTCCCCAAGCCTGTGTCCCCCCCACTCCCATGGCTGCCGGGGGCTCTGCCGTCTCCCACCCCGCTGCCCAGCGCATACTCGGGGCTGTCCCACACAGGGGGACGAACGCATTTAGGGGGCCCGCCAAGGGAAGCGGCAGCATCTGCCTGCATGCGACCGGGGTACAGCCAGGAAGGTGCACAGGCACTTGCCACGGCTCCCCACGCAGGCATGCATGGGCTCGCACTCGGGGCTGCCGCGGGACTTGAGGCGGTTCCTCCTGATCGCTTGCAGGATTTTGGGGAGGGCTGTTTGACGCGTGGTTTTACTTTCTTTTCTCTTTTTTTTTCTTTTTTTTTTTTTCGTGGAAAACGATTAATTTGAAACAAATTAAGCTCGCCAGCGTCTTGTTTGCCAAACAGGCTGTTGGCAATGTGCAAACAGGCTTTCACCCCGGCGCCGTGCCCCCGCTCTGCTCCCTGCTGCCCTGCTCCAGCCCTGGCCGCACATCCTCCTCCTCCTGCCCCTGCCCCGCCGCGCCTCCCCACCCCAGCCCGACAATACTGCTTGATTACTATCTCCCCTTTGCCCTTAATGCACGATCCGGGTTTCTCTTCAGCCTCGAAATAAGAAGTGACACATGCACCACTAAACCAACGTGTGGGGAAAGCCCGCAGTTGAGAGGGGCTATTGACGGGAACGCTGCAAAGAGACAAAGCTGGGGGCTAGTGGAATCAGATGCAGCCCTTAATTAACACCATCTTAAATAGTCCAACAGGCACTGAAGACAAAGTTGAAGAAAGACTTTAAGGCTGAGTGCCCCTCGACAAGTTCTTTTTTTTTTCTCGTGTCATTCAATATTTAATGCACTGTGCTTGTAATGCTACTACTGGTGCTCCTTTCTCAGCAAGTACATTATTTTTTCACGGTGCCCATGGCCAGGGAAAACCCTTTAGGCAAAGAAAATCAAAATGTTTGTTGTTTTGGATGACTTATAACTCTTGTTTAACACAAGCACTTTCAAGAAAGTATAACAGGCGCAGCCTCTAAAGCAAACAACGAAATCCTTGTGACAGAGTCGGACACAAAAACCACATTGTGTTATGGACTATCCCTTTTCTCTCCTGCTAGATGGGTGCCTGTCTGAGACTGAACACCACGATGCCATTTTACTTTTGAACTATTGTTTTTGAGTTATCCCATGTGGTCAAAAGGAGAAGAAGGGAGGTTGTTTCCAAGCTCATAAGACAAACGAGTTGCCTTTCATTGAACTACGCCAGAGCTCCTTTAAAACGAGGTTTAAATGTCACCTCCATGTTTTTAATGGACACAGGGCTTCAGGGGCGACCCTTCAAAGCGCCTTCGTAATAAACGACCCTTATTAAATATGTCTCTGCCTGGGAAAATCACTTGGTAGACTAGAAAAAAGGGGGAGCGGGGGTGGGGGAAGAAGAGACACGGTGCTGCCGGAGGAGCTCGCCGCCCCCCTGCTCCCGCCGGGGCCAGGACCGAGCGGAGGACGGTCCCGCTCCGGGTGCTCTGCCGCCGGGCGGGGCGGGCGGGGCCGGGGGGGGGCCGGGGGGGGGGGGGGGGGGGGGAGTGTTGTTACACGGATACATTGGCCTCTCCCCCTCCTCCCAAACCCTCTTTTTTCCCTCTGTCCCCCGCACCCCCCAAAATAAGAGGCTGAGTGAAAGGTTGGGGTGTTTTCCTCCTGACTTTATTTTGTCCTTAGGAGAGCGGCGTCTGCGAGTCTGAGCTGCGAAGTTACTGATTTGCAGGCTGCATGTTAAGGCAGCCCATGTAAGTAATTTCTGCGGGCATCCCGGCAAAGGAGAACAAATCGTTGACAAAGGCGAGCCCTTTCAATTCAGCAGCGTCGTTAGGGAAACCAAAAAGTATTCTTCCTATAATAAGTTCCACTTCAAAGGATTTCTCATTCAACGGTGACTGCTTCGCACTTTTATTAAGTCCAGGCTTTTTCACTTGGCGGAATCATCTGTTTGGTTATTTTTCATCGTGTTTATTTTTCACCATTCACACAGTACTTGTATTAAATAAACAAAGAACAATCGCTCTGCAAATAAAAGTGCTTAGGTGGGAGGAAAAAAAAAAGAGGGAGACAGAAGACAAGAAAAGCTGAAGATGGAGCTTCTTCGCCGCTTATTTGTTTGTTTATCTGCTGAAGCTGGGGGGGTCCTAAAATAAAGGGGGAGGGGGTGTTGGGAGAGAGGCCAAAAAATATGAGACGTTCTGATGAAGTGAAAATTGACTGCGCTAACACGGCATGAAACTAAAGGTCAATGCAACTGTATCTTAATAGAGTGTCTCGAATCGAGGTGGACTATTTTAAATGCAGCTTGCTTTTGCTGCGCTCATTGCCATAGCAATCCTAACGCTCCATGTTGATGTACCATAAAAGCAGTAGTTTGAATTTCAAAGAACCTGCCTTTGAACTTCTCCCTGCCTGATTAGGCACTTGCGTGGTGTGTGTGTGAATGCGGGAGCGTGGTTGTGTGTGCTGGCGGTATGCGGGATGCGGGGGGGAGCTGGGGCAGCGCCCCGTCGGCGTTTGGGTGTCCGAGCCAAGGGGGAGCGTCTGTGTCCGTGCGTGAGTTTAGTGTGTGTACCAGCACACTCCCTGCCTGATCCCTCCTGCTCCGCTCTACCTGGAAATATTTTTCCGATGGGGGAGGGGAGGGGGAAAAGTGCGTGACAGTCCATCCTTCCCAGCACTTCACAACTCCCTGGCGACATCTCTAGAAGCACGAAATACGCGGAGAAAAACGCTAAAAATCCTTGGTTCTCCCACCACCCACCTCTTGTAAGGCAAAGAAAAAGCCTATCCCGGCCCCGCTGCGTCCCGCACCCTGCCCGTGGTGAGTGCGTTAAGGGGCGCTGCCCCGTGGCTCTCTGCCGAGAACTCCCCCGCTTATCCATATCCTCAGCCCCCCTCCCCGCAATGCCATTTCCCACACTCTCGAAATTTCTTAGCCCCTTCAAACTTCGCGACCGCCGCTCTCGCCTTTAAAGGGCCGAGCGCCAGCAATAGTGTGTGGCGAGATGTCTCCCAGCCGCGACTACAAAGGTAGATGATTTAAACAGTGTTTGCTAGGACCACGTTTCGCCTAGGAAAAGATGAAGTCTTTGATGATGGCCAACTCGGTGTCAATAAGTGGCTTTCTTTGAGCCATATTCAGATGGGAACGTCTTGCTTGCCAATTGCCATAGAAATCCTAACACACCATGAAGATTGTCCAAGCGCCAAGCCTTCCGTTCTGGGCTAAATTACTTTGAAGTGGGGCAGGACGTGCACTGGTCAATGTTAACTCTATAGGGCGGGCAAGGAACACTAGGAGAGGGAGGTTGGGGAGGGGGGGAAGCAGAAAATAAGAAGGGGAAACTTGTTTTAGACACTCTATACAAGGTTCTGCTCATTGTCAGATATCTTTTATCTTTTATATTTCCCATGAATGATTCATGTCTCAGTGGCTTTGTGTCGCCTTCCTTTTCACAAGAAACTTCATTAGGGAGCTATAAGTTTTCCCATTGATTGGAGCCCTCATTTATGAGTGTTTTTCTGCTTCGTATGTTGGTTATTGTCATTCTGCTTGAAACAACTCTTTGCAACCTGTTTCACCTTTACCACATTTAACAAAACTGACTTAAAAAACACTCTAACCTTTTGGTGAAACTGTTCTTGACATTTTGACCAGTCATTTTCGAGCACTGGTAAATTACAGGGCGGGGAGTGCAATCACCCTGGGCTAGTTTTATTTAATTGATTTTATTTTTAAAAATTAAAAAATAATCCTGAAGGATGCTGACGCACAATTCTGTCTGGATTTTTTCACGTGTTTCTTTCAGTTTTCCTCTCTGGAAACGAGAAACCTGTGTCTTTGCTCCTCAGCTCCAGAAAACTACTTTTTTTTTTTTCTCCTTCATTCCAGTGATCTCCTGGCGTTATTTCTTGCCTGGCCTGACTCTCTTTCAGAATCCTGTTCTGGCATACCGTTTTGCTTCTATGTCTACTACTGAAGAGTAGTGCTGTTTAACTGACGAGTATCCGAGAGAGGAGACTGCCGGGAACATCTTTTTTTCTTTTTTTTTTTTAATTCCCAATAGAAATACTAACATTTTAATTGATTTGATTTGATACTCTGATTAGCTGTCCTTGAGAGAAATGAAGAATTTCGTGTGTATGAATGTCCGACTTTTGTCTGTGTCTTATCTGTCTGTCTATCCCTCTCTTTACCCTGTGCCCGGGAAGCCAGCAGCAGATCACCAACTGCTCCATCATGAGAAGGCACCCCCCAATCCCATGCCCCCACCCTTAACCCGGCTCAGGGGCAAACCCCCCCAGGGGCAAGGCCTGCAGCCGCGGGGGGGACGCAGGGGTGGCTCGGCTCAGAGCATCCCTCCTCTGCCTGGCTGCAAACCCAAACGTAAATGCAAAGAAGAACCGTATTTACTCACACGTTTCTCTGGGGAAAGCCGGGGTATCTCAGCCACCCCCAAAATCTCCGGGTGCTGCTCCTGCCACGCTATGAGGCTATGGCTATATCTGACTCTACCTACTGACCTTCGGGGGGAAAAGGGAATGCTTTGGTCTGTCTGCCCCTCGTCTGTCAGTAAGGCACATGCAATACATAGGAATAATATTTTTATTCATTTGCATGATAATTTTTTTTTGCTTTTTATGGCGTTTACAGAGATGAAAAATTTTAAATTAGCATTTTTTATTTAGGAGGTATCATGTGTCATAAAATTGTTGGGGAATTGTGTAACCCTACGTGTAGCAAGTACATAAAAATAGTGATATATCCCCCCGAGCCACAGTTTATAAACCCTGCCATGTCGTAATGTATAGTGCAATCTGTTGTTAAAAAAATGCATAAATTAAAAAGTTCGTTTATAAATCAGCACCAATATATCTCTAATAAGATTACATTACATAAATTATTCTTTAAAAAGTCCATACCTTCCTTTATTATTTTCTATTTATTCAAATGGGCTTTGAAAAACGAATAAAAAGCAAATCGAATGAACTTTAAAAAATTATTTTCTATTCAAGTTTTCTGTTTGTTTTTAAAGTAACACCTGCTTCTTTAGATCCAACACAACAATATGAAGACAACGTTTAAAGGCTTCCAGAGTGACAGCACCATGCACTGTACTAATAATATAATATCTCTATGAACTATACATATATATATCAGCACCAACACACCGCACGGAGCACATGCAGGAAGAGTCTGTTTCACATTACATCAGTCTTTCAAGTAAGCTGAAAAATATAATTTTGTTTGTTTTTTTACAAACCACAGCATCATAAACAACAATCTATCACCAAAATTAATAAGAAAATTCTTTGGTGTGCTCTGTACTGTTCCAGGGGAGGGGGAAAAAAAAGAAAGAAAAAGGGTGATGTCAGAAAATAAATTAATTCGACTGTACAAAATAATCGCGTTCACATACACGTTATTAACAATGACAAGACGACATCTACCATTCACGGCACACAAAACACATTTCGTCGAGCCCTGGGGGAGGGGAGGGAGGCTGCCGCTTCTCCTCTCAGGGTCTCTGAGGAGGAATTAGTGCTCTTTACTTCATTTGCGCCCTGCGCCTGGCTCCTGACGGATGGGCGACAGGCCGGAGTGTCCCCCGCGCCCCGCAGCCCCTCGGCCGCTGGGCTGGGCCCTTGGGGCTGGGGGGCAGTTAGAACCCCGACGGCAGCCTGCTTCCCCACCCCTCGCTTCTTTCCCAGCAGCTCCTGTCCCCTCCTCCCAGGTGACTCTGCCGAGCCACTTCAGGGGGATGGTGAAAAGCGCGCAGGCATCGGCTCGGTTGGAGAGAGGAAATAATATATATAAAAATAATAATAAAAAGACAATCCCTCTATCCCTGCCCCCTACTCCAGGACTCGCTGGACCTGGGGGGCTGCTCCCCTTCCCAATCCCGAAGGGGCTGGAGGGAGGATGAGACAAAGTCTTCCTCTGCGAGACAAACTTTAAAAAGCAATAACAACCAGAGTATTAATAATACCAAGCCCGAGAAAAGGGAAATTCGCTGTCTGTCTTTGTGTTTAAAAAAAAAATATATCCAAAATGTATCACAATATCACAGTTGTCAAATAGCAGCGGGTTTCTCTTATTCTCTGGATTAGGAGCCATACACGTACAAACCATGTAGGAGTGATAAAGGAGTCCTGCATCTTTTGTCTTTTCTTCCCTAAATCGTTTGCACATGGTTAGGACTAAGGGAGAAAGAAAGAAGGCTGCAGAGAAAACGCCGGGTGCAGGTGGGACCCACTGACTCGGGAGAGAAACCATCAATTACAAAGGAGCTGAACTTCAAGAGGGGTAGGAAAATGCATTTATTTAATTTTATTTTGAGGGATGCACAACCTGTCCTCGATTGGCTGGATTTTAGCAGGTGCTGCTTTACAGTCAGGAGGCTGCTGCTGACCTGGGGCTTTACCCAGGCCAAAGAGGAGGCGCTGAGTGGCAGCTAAGGTATTTAAGAGCCACTCCAGAGAGCGGCTGGGCTCTGCCAGCTCGCAGCCTTCACCAGCAAACTCTCTTGATAAGAGCAATGGGCACGGGCAGGATAGGAGAAGGATATCTCCCTTGGCACTGTCCCCCTGCACACCGTGCAGCGCGAGTGGCTGAGATGGCCCAGCCTGGCATTACAATGCTTCTTCTTACCAAAGGGAAAAAAAAAAGGTCCAAGTCTCTTTAATTAAATTAGTTACCGTATAAACACCATAGGGTTTCATACATGGAATAAATAGCGCGAGTCAAACCTGATGACACTTCCAGAGCAACCCCCCATGCCAGGTGGCTGCTGCAGCCCAGGCCACTGTGGTGGGGCTGGGCCACCGGCGGCAGCTTGGCGCGGCTCAGCATGGCCCTAGGGAGCAGTTCTGCCCCCCGAGGTCCTATGGGGCTCGTCCTCCTCGGAAGCCGGGGAGGTGTCGCGGCTGGAGGGGGTGCGGGGCCGGCGGGGAGCCCCCCCGGCCTGGCAGACGTACCACTCGCTGAGGTTGGTGACCGGCGGGGACAGGGCGGCGGCGCGGCCACGGGGCGGCTCGGCGGCCGGGTCGGCCTCGGGGGGCAGTGGGCAGTCGGGGAGCCCCGCCGCCGCATAGCCCTGTGAGCCTGGCGGCGGGGAGGGCGGTGGGGACTTGCAGTGGATCTTCATGTGCTTCCGCAGGGAGCTGGGGTGGGTGTAAGACTTGTCGCAGCCGCGAATCTTGCAGTAGTAGGGCTTGTCCGAGGTGTGGACGTGGGAGTGCTTCTTGCGGTCGCTGCTGTTGGCGAACTTCCTCTCGCAGCCGTCAAACTCGCACTTGAAAGGCTTCTCCCCTGCCGGGACACAGCAACGGCACGGTTACCGGCGGGCGGGGGCTCGGCCCTGCCCGGAGCCCGCCCGCCGCACCGCAGCCCCTCCGCAGCGCGGCCTCCGGGAACGAGCGGCAGGGCAAAGCTTCTCCTTCCCTCCTTCTCCTCCCCTTTCCCCTTTTTCCTCCCCCCTCACGACAGTCGTGACATGCCCGAGGCTTCCGACCTCTTCCTCGTGTTTTGCTGCCTGTGACACGCTGCTGGCAGCCTCCAAGCCTGAAGCCGGGGCTGGCGGCGGCAGGGCCCCCCCGGCCTTGTTTGCCCTCTGCGGCGCTCCCCTCGCACACGAGAAACCTTCATTACCGCTCTAATGACCGAGCCCAAACAAAACCTCTCAATGCCTTTGCCTGCGAGGGCTGGCGTTTGCCGGCAGCCTGGCTCGGCTGGCACATCTCCTGCGTAATCCGTTCCCAATGGGCACTGCGCTGGGGGAATAATTAGTTTGGGGGAAATAAAAGTAACACCTGTTTAAGCATCCCGATATAAAGACAGAATACCCAGCAGCTCGGATTGAGAACCTGCAAGATGGGGGGATCAACCCGAACACTGGAGATGAGGGCAGCAGACTGCTGTTACCATAGTTGTTTACCTCGGACGAATTTGGATCTAAAAATGTCTGGATTCTCTGTTTTAAGTTTTACACATTGCTTAACAGTTAAAGAGGTTGTGAAAATCACACCCTCGTCTCCACACATAACATACCCTGGAATATATATGTTCTGGTATATATAGCCGTGTCCCAGACCGACCCTTCCCCGTAGTTCCTGAATGGGGTTGGGTAAATGCCTACTGCTGGTTGACCAGAGGAAAAAAAAAAGTGGCCGAGCCCTGTACTGAAGTTTCTTACAACAACTTTTTCTTCCCCTGCCATGCACATGTGAGTCTGAGATAGACCTGCACTGATAATCCTTATCATGTTTATTGCAACTCTTGAATAGGTTTATGAACGACTGATGTGTATTTTCAGATCTGTTTTGCTCTGAATTCTCAGAAATAACAACCCAACAGCTCTCTCGGTGGACATTTGCTCATTATCACCAAGCAATTTTTACTGCCCCTCACATTTGTAAAATCATGTTGCGTTTAGCAAAATAACAATGGAGATAAGAAAACTATTTTTATTTTCCGAAGCTGTTTCTCGGCTGTTACTATAGAAACATACACCTCCACAGCCTATTTATGCATCAATTTTTTCAATTAAAATCGTCTCAGCTACCACCAATGTGGTAGCACTAGAAAGTGCAAGTTTATCTTTTTAAAAAAAAAAGGAGGGGAGGAAAAAAGGAATTAAAATTGTACCTCGTGGGTTTTAAGTGCACGAAAACCCCTGCACACCCCCCGAGACAAATTTCCAGTCACTTTGTTTGTTCATTAATTACTATTATCTTTTCTGGTAAAACAAAGTGAATCTACCAGAGGTTTTGCCTGGTTTCTATCTGTGTTACTCCAAGGATGCAGGCTCACACATCCTGCTGCTGGCAGCGGCCTGCAGAGCCCCAAGCCAAGCTGCCCTGAGGTGCTCCCTGAGGTGCTCCTACCATCCGGACCGAATTGCATCCACTCATTCGGGGCTTTAGGGAAGTGTCTTTCCACATGGGTTCACACATGGCACCCTCACCAGTCTCCAGATCTCGATGATCCAATTCCCCATAAATCCAGGAGTGGGGAAGGTCCCAGTGTGTCCCCATTATGCTGATGAGGGAATAACGTCAGAGTTTAACTATTTGTAGGTGGTTTCAACCCAAAGAAGGGGGCGAGATGCCAGGTGCCATCCCGTAACTCCTCCCGGCAGTAGCAGTGCCGGTGGTGGGGAGGGACACAGAAGGGTCTTGGGGTCACTTTTTTTGGAGGGTGGCAGGGTGTGGAAATCATCAGAAGGAAGCCTCATCTTCAGTGAGGGGGCAGCAAAGTTGCAGGAGTGAGAGGATCCCCACTTCCACTAGGACACACCAGGGGTGGCAACAGCAATTTGTCCCCAAAATGGGAGAGGAGCTGCAGAGTGGGGTGTGCAGCTTCCAGGGTAATGCTTTTGAGGAAAAAGGACAAAACAAAAACAAAACCAAAAAACAAGCAAGCAAACTCCTCCTGAATTTACCAACATACTCTTCTTCCTGCAGAATTACCAGAAACACATAAAATCTCCTAATGATACAATTATGGTGTTGTTATTCCCCCTACACACACCCCTGAATGCCCATAATAAACGAATAGTTTGTAAATCTCTCCTGCTCCCAAGCTGCACATGACTAAATTAAAGTTGAGGAAGCAAAATTACAGCAATTAATCTGACAGGCATGGGCAGAAGGTTTGGGATCCCTCATCCACTCGAAGGCTCTGCGCGGGGAAAGACTCATGACCTCTTTGTCCTCCCGTGGGCCTGAGCTGTCGTTTTAGGTGGGCTGTTGCCCCGAGCGCTGCTTTGTTGTAACGCCCCCTTCTGAGTGGATATAGCCTTTCCCCGTGGGCCCATGCGTGGGCACCCTCCCGGGGACTGCAAGCTGAAAACTCCAAATTTCCTTTGCAAGGGGCCATGTCCCACGCAGGGCCTCGGGCCAATGGTCTATCTCAGCTTAGAGCTGCAAACTGTGACCAATACATATTTGGGTTATTGGGGGGGAGGGTGTCTTTTTCCCGCTGAATCTCTCTGACCACTCCCAAACCTCTCCCGGACTCGTTCCCACTTTCCCCCCCTCAGCCCCCTCCCCTTGGAGCTGAGATGGGTAAGGAATTGAGAAGCCCAGGAAAGTCTGCAGTGAAGTTTTGTTTTTCAAACCAAGGCAGATGGAGAAGGCTATAGATGACAAAACCACGGGCCTCCAGCACTTAACTCATCCCACGGTGCCATTAAAACAACAAGAATAACAACAAAAAGTGCCAGACCCCCCAGGAGAAACCTTCCTCCCCCACCCGCGGCTCTGGGTGCAGAGCGCCGGGCACCCTCAAGGCTCCGCTGCTACCTATGGGCTCATGCCTGACATATTCTGCAGATAAAAATCTATAATCCTTTCAGCCATGGGCCATTTGGTTTTACATCAGAACAACACGTTGCACGGTCGCCGCTTTTCTCTTCCCGAGCAGCACACAATAAATCAAGAAAGCAATTACGGCAACTCCACTTCCTTAAGTATCCTCCGAGGAATAATATTTATCTGCCACTATAAATCCCGGCTTCGTTCGTTTTTGGCAGAGTTTTAACACCCAGATGGAAATGCGTATTTCGGAGGTGGCGACAAATGGGGAGAAAGTGAAAAAGAAAAAAAAAAAAAAGAAGAAAAACCCCAAAACAAACACAGAAAGAAAAAATACTCAAGGGCTCATACACAGCCCGAGCCTCTCCAGGGCATCTCCCCCGGGTGCCGCTTCCTCCTCCCGCAGCCCCGCCAGGCAGTCGGGGCAACTTTGAAGTTTCCTTCTCAGATCACCAAAGGGAGTGAAGCGTCCTCCGGTGAGAGCCTTCCCCCGCCTTGCTCCGTGCTCTCCGGCTCCGCGGGCACCGCCGCAGGCGGGAGGAGCCCGGGCAGCACCAGCAGCCTCGGGACAGGGGTCAGTACCCGCACCCAGCGTCACGAGCAGCCCCGGCAGCGCCGCCGGCATCCCCAGTAGTTACGGCAGTATCGCTAGCTCAGGCAGAAGGTACCCCCGGCAGTATCGGTGGTCCCACTAGGAGGGACAGCTCCGGAGCGAGGGTAGCCCCAGGAGCGCTGGTCACAGGGGCAGGTCGGTACCCCGGTACTACCGGCAGCCCCGAGCGCTGCCGCCGCCCGCAGCGCAGGGGAACTGCGCCCCCAAGAGCCCCCGCGGCCCCATCTCGGCCGGGCGAAGCGTCCTCCGTCCGGCTTCGTCCCGCCGGCAGAACCAGCAGGAAAAGCAGAATCGCCGTTCCTCGGCGCGGGTAGGGAGGTGGCAAAGGGCAGCGCTCCCCAGACACGGGGTGAGCCCCCCGTGGTGCCCTGGACAGGGGCGGAGGGAGCCGCGACGGGCGGGTGCTCGTCCTCTCCCGCTCTTCCGCAGAGGCTGCTGCTCATCTTCCCCCAGCTCTGCGTTATTTATTAATCGTTGTATTTATCCGGTGGTGCCGGGATGTGGGGAGGTGGGTGGCAGAGGGGGTGGGGAGGGAGCTGCCCAAGGTGCAGGGGGATTGGGGGGGGGCGACGGGACACGTGTGTGCGGGCAGAGGGGCCGGGTGCGTGTGCGTAGCTGTGTGTGCGTGGCCCGTGTGCTGCCGAATTACTTATTCATGAAAAAGTCACATGTCCGGCGGTGCGTAGGAGAGGAGGAAAAGAGGAGGAAAGGAGGGAGAAAAAAAAAAAAAAGAAGAAGGAAACCCTTGCAGGGGCGGGGGAGGGGGGAAGAACAACCTACCTGTATGAGTCCGCTTGTGGATCTTGAGGTTTTCGGAACGAGCGAAGACCTTCCCGCAGCCGGGGAAGGGGCAGGGGAAGGGCTTCTCTCCCGTGTGCACTCGGATGTGGTTGATGAGTTTGTATTTCGCTTTGAAGGGCTTGCCTTCGCGGGGACACTCCTCCCAGTAGCACACGTGGCTGCTCTGCTCGGGCCCGCCGACGTGCTCCACGGTGACATGGCTCACCAGCTCCTGCATCGTGCTGAAAGTTTTGGAGCAAGGCTTCCTACCGCCCGGTGGCGGCGGCGGAGGCGGATCCCGGTCGATCCATTTGCAGATCAGCTCTTGCTTGATGGGCTGTCGCATGTACCGCAGGAAGGCCCCGGCCGCCGCCGCCGCCGCCCCGACGTGGGCATGGTGGTGGTGGTGATGGTGGTGGTGGTGGGGATGGGGGTGGTGCGGGTGCCCGTGGCCGGCCGCCGCCAGGTTGAGGTTGACGGAGCCGTAGCCTTGCAACGCCGAGGAGGAGGAGGCGGCGGCAGCCCCGTAGTGCGCCTCGGCGCGCCCGTAGAGCTCCCCGGCGGCGGCCGCCAGCCCCAGGCGCATCTGCCCGTTGAGCGGCGGGTGGCGGCCGGCGGGCGCGCCTTGCTCGCCGGACGGCGGCGGCGGGAAGGCGGCGTGCGCCCCGTCGGCTGCGCCGTAGGTGCCCGCGGCCGAGATGAAGACGCCGTGGGGTGGCGGGTGCGGAAGGTGGGGGGAGCCGACGGGCGGGTGCTGCTCTCCCAGTGCCCCGTGGACGGCGGCGGCGGCGGCAGCGGGAAGCTCCCGCCGCAGGAGGAAGTCCCGTCCCGCCGCCCCCCCCCGACGGGTATCCCGGGAGGGCGGCGGCGGGCGGCGCGTAGGCGGCGGCGGTGGTGGCGGCGGCGGCCGTGGCGGCGGCGGCCGTGGCGGCGGCGGTGGCGGCGGTGGTGGTGGCGGCGGGCGCGGCGAAGGCGGCGGCGGCGGCGGTGAGCGCCTCGGGTGTGAGCTTGAGGGCGGCGGGCTGCGCCATGTGCTCGGGTCCGAGCGGCGTGAGGGCGCCGCCGGGGTCGCCGCCCGCGTCCCCGGGGTGGAGGTGGGCCGCGTGGTGGGGGTGGACGTGGTGGTTCCCCAGCCCCGGGAAGCCTGTCATGTTCTGGTGAGGATGGGGCTGAGACGCTGCCAAATCCGCTAATCTCAGTGTCGGGTTCCTCTTGCTCAAAGGGGGCTCCATAACGACACAGCCAAGCCCATCTACGCTCGCTGTTGTTATTTTTTTCCCTTTACCCGCCTTCAAAAACATGTATATATTAAGCGGCTCTTTAACTTCTTTTGTCTGCGCTCCGAGCCCCGCGCATCCCTGGCCCCGCTCTGCCCGCCCGCGATTGGCAGAACCCTCACCACACTCCGGCGGCGCGCTGGGGAATACGGCTCGGACACCGCGCCGGAGGGATTGGACGGATCTCGATGATTGGCAGCGGCCGGGGCCGCGCGATTGGCTTCCTTTCAGGCCGCGGGCCCAGCGGGGATCCGCCCCCGCCGTCCCCCGCGCCCCCCCCGCGCCGCCCCCCGAAGTTGCACTTGCAAAACTTCGCGCAGGGCCCGACGGGGCGCACCCGCCGCCTCCCCCCGCCGCCCCCCGCCGGCAGCACCGGGCAGCACCGGGCGGCAGCTGCCTCTGCTCCCCCGGCACCGGACGGGGCGCCCTGCTCGCAGGCGCCGCCGCGTTTACGTTTGCGGGGCCGTGGGGTTTCTCTGCTCGCCTGGAAAGAGCCCACGCGTGGGGCTGCTTCCCAGGTCCGCACTCGGTTTCTTTCTCTTTTTTCTTTTTTTTGGAGGGCCACTTCATTCATGGATGAGGCGGGAAAGCACGCCCTCGTACAACGTACGCAGCCCCACACCCACGCGAGGCCAAGGCAGTGTGTACTCACGCCTGAGGTAACACTAGAGGAAGGCAGCCAAAGTTTTCCTAAAAAGAAAACGGCGGGGGTTGGGATTCCTTTCCTTTAGAAAATAAACGAGTAAGCAGGGAGGGAAGGAGGAGGGGGGCAAGTGGCACATGTTAGGGCGAAGTTTTGGGAGCCTGCGCTCGCCGCTTCTTTGGGGCTTCCTCCTCCCGCAGCCCCTTGCCGCGGCGCCCCGTGGGAAGAGCTAGCCCTTGACCCTCGGGGGGCCGCCAGCCGTACCCCAAGCAGCTGCCTCCACCTCAGCCTTAATTCTGCAACGGCGAAATAGAGATGGAACTGCCGCAGTGACACCGGCCCGGAGCATAAACGCCCCTCGACGCTTTGGGATGTAGGGGGCAGAGGGGGGAGGTAGGATGGGAAATGAGGGAGTCTCCCCTGGGGACTGTCAGCCCTGAGCTGCTGCCCTAGACGAAAAGGGAGGAAGAGTGGGAGCCCTCCTAAAAGGGGGCAGAGGTGGGGAACGGGCGGGGAAAGCGATGGGACCGCCCCTGGGGTGTGGGGTGTGGTAGTCCTCGAAAGTGGAGCTCTTTGTGGAGCGCCGAAACTGTCCCGTCGACACAAAGGATGCTGCCGTTCGAGGGGGGCGACTAGGCAGTGCCGGGATTTCCCTGCCGAGCCAAAAGGGGGAGAGGAGCATTGTCGTGAATTTTCTGTAGGACTGCGGGAGGAGAAGTAGCTTTTATTGATATATCATCTGCTTTCTTTAGGCTACTGGTCCCCTGGGAATGCCTTGAGCTCCTGCTCTCCTTGGAAAGTGCAGGCAGGCTGCCTGCCCTTCCTACCTATGAGGCAGTGAGGGACGCTCCTCCGCCACCCCAGGAGAGGAAGAGGTGTGGGGGATGCCAGTGGACGCCTACACACACCCTGGCCCTCCCCGGCAACCCAATCCCCTTGACCAAACTACATCTGCTCGTCTTGTCCGTTTCCCTATGCCGAGCCATGTTTAAAGGAAGCCTCATGCTGGTCCGGCATTTCCTGGGCCAGGCTCTAGCGCCCCCTCCTCCTTCCCTCCCGCCGCTACTCACGCAGGGAAAACTCGCAGGATTTGGCCCACGGCTGCCCAAAGGGTGGGAGAGGCTATAGGGAATGCTCAAGGGGGAGCGAGACCCGCCGGTTCCCTCTTCTCTCTCCCCCCCCCAGAGCCGAACCGATGTTCCCAGCTCTAGTGGCCACGTAGGGGGTTTCAGTGATTCTGCAAGGCAAGAAACGGGAATAAACGATCCCCGGGTTTTAAAAGGGACTGCTTGATGGTTTTATTGCACAGTAAAAACTTCTCGCTAACTAGCCGTACGTCTGTATGGGTATTTATATACGTATGTTTTTTATACGTCCGTCCAAACACTACCTTCCCTCCCTAAATTCTGGGCACGTTGCTGGACTGAGGTTCAGAATGGTTTGTCAGGAGATGCTGTGGAGATGAAGAACAGTATCACGGCTCCTCATCCCTCTCCTGTTAAAAGCAGCGTGACATGTATCTGTCATCGATTTAATATGTCTTAACTCAAATATATCCCCCGATCAATTTCTTTTTATGAGAGGCTATAAAACAATGAAAATATTTTATAGGTGGCTAATAGGCAGCTGACCCATGACTATGGGGAGGGAGGGGTTGATCGACACTCAAGTGGAAACCAGCCTATTTTTAGGACTGGCTGCAAACGCCAGAAAGCAAAGGTGACTGCCCGGGCCGGGACAGTTTGGACATTTCCATCTCCAAAAGTGCCATGAAGAATTTAAAGCTCATTGACTCACTGATACCAGCTCAGGCCCAGGGTGCCACAGCCCTCTGGACCTGCAACACAGGGAGGCGAGCTGTGCTAGCCCCACAGCCCCCAAAAAACCTCGGCAGCGCCCGTCGGGGGTCGGAACGCACCCTGTTCCCGCGGCGGAGCCGGCTGCGGAACTCTCCCACAGTGCCATGCTCGCCGGCAAACCTGCTAAGGGACATGGCGGGGGGGGGCTGCAGAGGCGGGGTAAAGCCTGGAAGCCTTCAGATTTGTTTCGTAAAGCTTCCTCTATAAACCGAGCTCGGGCTATCGGCTTTAGAAAGTATTTAACTGTAAAACGTTGTGCTGTGAGCTGCGTTATGTAAATGTATGCTAATGATCATGAACACCATTTACAAACAATCGTCTTTAATGCACGTCTTATTGATAGTTAGGGAGCAGGGAGCAATATTTTATAGCTTGTAAAGCATTCTTCTGGGGAAGCATTAGAAAGGGAACGCGATTGCCGCTTTCCTTGGCAAGACTTCCAAATCTCCCCCAAATCTGCTGAAAAAGCCTACCCTCCTCCCGACCCGTCGCGAGTGGCTTGCTTTGCTCCTGGGGCTGCCTTGCGGCATGGGAGAGCCCGTGGCGCCGTTCCCTCTGCGAACATGCTTGATTGGAGATGGATTCCGCCCGTACCAGGAGGGAGCGCCCCGAGTCATAGCCCCGTGGGGATCGACACGGGCAGGGAGTAACTACGGTATCCTCCTCACCATCCCATCGGGGGAATAACATGGAGGCACCGGGACCTCGGGCGGGAGCGGGTGGCTGCCCAGGGGCACGAAAGGGAAAGAGAGTAGCGATGTGGCAGTGAGACTCCACACCCCTCCTCTATGGAGGGGCTCAGCGGATGGATATTTTATACCCTTAAAAATTAAACTTCTCCTGAGCCAGATGTCGTCGCTCTGTGCACCCAAGTGGGAACCCGAGGGCTGGCACCCGGACACGAGTGGGTGCCGGCACCGTGCCCGACGTCGGGCTGCCGGGGCCGAGACCCACCACATCTATGGGACAGGGATTTACGAGTAAAAGTTTCGGAGCTGCTATTTTCAGTGAGCATCTCGCCAGGGAAAGAGGGGTCCATCCCCTTCAGGGTTTGCTTAAATAGGGACAAAATAAGGAAAAAAAATTCCATCCTTCAGTCTCTCTCTCTCTGTGTCTATCTGTCTGTGTGTCTGTCTATCTATCTATCTATCTATCTTTCTATTTATCTATGCCTACAGAGAAAGAAAGAGATAAAGAGAGAGGCGGTCTCAGGAAACCCAGGCCAAATTTTGCTCTGATCTCTCTCTCCCCCTTCCCCTCTCTCTGTAGCTGAACGTCACCGTTGGAAGAAGCTGTTGAGATAAATCAAATAGTGACACTTTGACGGCTTTACTTGTATAAGCAATATGGTTACCATATGGCATTGTTATTTATGAATGACGGCATAAATTGTATTACAAAGTCCATCGCCCTTTATTGGGACGCTTCTTCCATGCCTCTAACGTTTATGTGGGCATCTCCAGATGGAAAAAGGTGCATATAATAAAGCCCGGCAGTGCGGCCGCAGACCCCATTTTGGGGGCGTTGTGCCAGGTCTACACTGGCTGCAGAATGAGGCGCGCAGCAGGGAAGGGCGCGGGGCGCGCGAAGTACGCGGCTCTGCGCGTCCCTCAGCCGCAGCTGGGCAGGGCAGAGGCACCGGCTACCGCTCGGCCAAGGTTCCCGTCCTGGAAAAAAACGCTACACTGCTCCTCGGCCCCATCGCCTCACGGCATTACTGCCGAGAGAGGGGTTTTATACAGCAACTTCTTTTATACATACATATATATAAGTGCAACTGAAGAAACAATAAATATTAATGGCACGAAAGCGGCGTGCTCCTTCCCCCTGCCCCTGCTCTGCCTAGCGGGGGGTTGTTTTGATTTTTTTTGTTGTTGTTTTGCTTTGGTTTAGGGTTTTTTTTTAAGAAGTATTTGAAGGTTACAGCTTTGGCTGAGATTTTCATTATTTCCCCTTTTTCTCTTACATTACACTGCCGGTAGAGCCTGACAAAGAACTTTTGTCCCGAAGTGTGTGTTTTACAGAGGGAGGCTACAGCACAACACATGTGGTCTTCACGGGTCATAGGTCGAACGGCCTAGAAGTGGCTCGAATCGGCACCATCAAAGGTAACCTGCAACTTAATATCCTGTTGATGAGCTTGTTGAATTTATGAGTGTCTGTGATACAGACAACGGTGCAAGTGATGCCGCTCAACTGGCCTCTCCTTCCCAGGCTACAGGCCAAGCGCACGCCCCCTCCTTAGCCCGCACCTCATCCCTGTTACTCTGCGGGAAGGATGAATTTTGGGGGAAAGACCCTCTCTTCCCCCTTTCCCTATCCCTCCTTCCCCACGGTGGGTCCTTCAACTTCTTTTTCCCCGATGAGGCCGTCGCCAGCCGCATCCTCTGCAGCCTGCGCCCCTACCGCGGTACCTACGGCTACCGAGGAGGGGTCGATGGAAGGAGGGGGCGCGGACACTCCCCAGAGGGCGCTGACGCCTCCCGGGAAAAGGGGTTAGCAGGCGAAGACGATATGTACAGTCCAGGGGAAGCAAGAAATTGCTTTCCCTCGCCTCGACCCCCCCACTAGCTCTCTCCACATCACCAGCTGGCAAGAAAAAGAGCAGAGCAGTTTTAAAGAGAATTTCGGAAAACTTACAAAGACATGAACGGTTTCCCGGGGAAGCCGACGTTTGCTCTGCAGGTCTGGCACCTCCAGAAACCTGTTGAAAAACTTCTTTCAATAAACCGGTTTAGCACCGACTTTGGGTGACCGCTTGCTTTCCTCCCTCAAAAGCTGCCGTAAACCGCGGGCTGCGTTTGTGGCGGTGGCCCGACGAGAGAGTGCGGGGCTGGCTGCCGCTGCCTCTGCTCCCCCCCCTTCCTCCCTCGCTCCCTTCCCTTGTTACCCTGTGACATGGGGGAAAGAGGTTTTGCGGTTCAGAGGGAAATAAAGCACTTCTTAGGAGGGACGGCGACGTGACTTTGAACTTGGATCAGCTCCTCTGTTTCCTGCAGAGAGAGTAGGGCTGGAGCCCTGAAAGAATAGCAGAGCGCGGCCAGCCTACGGGGGCTCCGGCTGGAATTCACCGCGTCCCCCTGAAAGCGCCCCGGTGTCGGCGCCGCTGAGCGGGTAGAGCGAGGGGTGATGGGAGGGGAGGCAGGAAAAGAAGGGAAGGAAAGGAAAGAAAAGGGAAAGAAAGGAATAAAGAAAGAGAATAAAGAAATAAGAGAGAAAAGAAAAGAAAGGGAGGGAAAGGAGAGGAAGGAAGGAAGGGAGGGAGGAAGGAAGGTAGGAAAAGAGAAGATGAGGGAAAATAAAGGAGGAAAGAGAGAGAGGAAAAGAGGAGTAGAGAAAGAAAGAAGGAAAGAAAGAAAGAAAGAAAGAAAGAAAGGGAAATCCAGAAGGTAGGTATTTGTATGAATATTCACCTTTGGGGTTTTTTTTTAGCAGTGTTTTAACTGCGAGTTTTCGTGGACATATTTGTTCTTTTTCTGATCTCAGATGTAGTAACTTCTTTTAAATCGGTTTAAAAAAAAAAAGTGTATTCAAGCGTTTAGTTGTCCGTATGATTTTTTCACTTATCTGGAGGCAGACTACGCAGGAGACCAAACTTTCCTCTCCAACTAGTGCTCTCGAAATCCCCAGCAACGGTGAAGGACTACTCTCAGACCTCGTCCTCGAGAACCTTTCAGAGAAGGAAAATAGAATTTGTTCGAGGTCTGTCCCTGGGAGCCTGGGGGGTCAGGACAAGGACAGCATATGCTCCCAAGCTGCAGTCTGGGAAGGCAATATATGGGGAGCAGACACCCCTGCCTGCAAAGACGGGACCGAATGACGGAGTGGCGAACAGAAAAGAGCTGTTGGCATCAAAGGTGCAGCTCTGCATTAATATTCAGTTTATCTTCTAATGCCCATTTCGGATTAGAAGGAATCCCACTTCTCCCCAGTTTAAATCCTCGCCTTGTTCACAGAGTAATGTCCAGTACTGGCACATTTCAACCACTTTCGGACAGTCTTGGAAATATTTTAACCATTTAATGGCAATGATGGGGAAGACCTTAGTTGGTATGCAGTGCCTTTGCCTGCCTGCCTGCCTTCCTTCCTTCCTTCCTTCCTCCCTTCCATCTATCTATCTATCTATCTATCTATCTATCTATCTATCTATCTATCATCTCTCACTGTAAAACCCCCGTTCGGATACTGGATCCAGGTTTGAGCCTGCCTATGCCTAATGCGGGATTTAATGTCATGAGGAGTCGCAGGAGAAATGTCAAAGGGAGAATTTCAAAAAGCCCCCCCTCAAACCACACAAACCACTATATTTTGGGTCGCTTCTCTGCCAAGCACAGAACTGATGGGGACTGATACGCCAAGGTTAAGTGCAGGACGGTTAAGAGGACAATTGTTATGCCGGGTTTTGATTTTTACAAAGCCTTATTTATTGGTGAGCTGCTGGCCCCGAGATGATTATTTTTCAGCCACTACAAAACAAACCGAAGCAGGGGCCAGACGTGTATTTACTGGAGGGGGAGGGGAAGGGGACTTGTTTGCTCTGTGTGTGTCTGCGGGTGCGTGTGTGTGTGTGTGCCGGCTTTATGCTTTTTTATTCCTGCCATGCAAGAATCCGGTTTCCAAATAACAATGGTAGGGTGGATTTTGGGGTTGGGATTTTTTTGCGGTTTTGTTTTTGTTTCTTTTTCAAGGAAGGGAAGAGACAAGGTAAACTCCTAAAGCATCTACTCTCAAATGCACATTCACAACACATGCAGATAGCAGATCGACTCCTCTGCTCCTACATAAATGGTTTAAAAGCCCAAACAACCAGGGCGACCGTTCCCTCTTTTATTTAAATTTTTATTTGATTTAATTTTTTTTGTCCCAGTCACCGTCGCCCCGCCAACGTGACTTTTATGTGATTTCCCCCCTCGCTCCCGTTATCGATCACGGGATTCATCTGCTTTAGCCGAAATGGGGAAAGGGGTTGCAGGGGTTATATTTTAAGACCCTCGCTTTGTTTGTTTGCCTCCCGAGGCAGTATCACATGCCCAAGCGTACATCGATATTTTCCGAGATCGCTGCGCCTCTCTCCACGCCACCCCTTCCCCTCGCCGCAGGGGGGGGGTTGAGGGTGGAGGGGTGACTCCCCCAAGAAATCAAGAAGCCACCGGCGGTGCGGGGCTGAAGGCAGTCCCCGGCGCGGCGCGGGGCTTTGCGGTGCGGTGCCAGGCGGGGGCCGTAGGGCCGCGGGGCGTTCGGCGGCGGCGCGGCGGGGCGCGGGGCGGGCAGGGCGCGGAGCGGCCGCGCCGCCATTAGCCGGTGGCCGAGGACGCCCGGATGGACGGGGCGGCTCGGGCCAATGAGCGGGAGCCGGGAGAGCGGCCGGGCGGCGGGTGAAGGCGGCGTCGGGAGAGGAGCCGCCAGTGCGGGCGGGGATAAGGAGAGAGGCCGGGGGAGGGAGGGAAGAGAAAGGGGGGGGGGAGGGGGGCAATAAAAAGCCGCCGCCTCAGTAGCGCCCACCGAAATAAACAGAGGAGCGAGAGGCAGCGAGGGTGCGGGCGGAGCGGGGCTGCAACTCCACCGCCCCGGCCGCGCCGCTCCGGCACTCGCCGGCCCCTTCCCGCCCCCCCGCCTCCCCTCCCCACCCCCACCGCCGCCCTTATTGTTTTTAATCCGCCTCCGGCACCCCCCTCCTCAGCCCCCTCCCCACGCCCCTCAGCAGAGGCGGTCGAGGGAGGCGCGGGGCACCCCCGGGGTCCCTTCGCTCCGTGGGAACCCGCGGCTGCAAGTTTTTCTCCGTGAGAGACACCGCTAATGCCCGGCGGAGGATAAAACGAGAAGCGGAGGCCCGGGAGCGGCGGGGGGCCCGAGGCGGCGGGAAGGGCTGCGGCCCACGCGGGGAGCGGCGCGGGGCCGGGCGGGCGGGGGTCGGCGGCTCTGACATCCCGGTGGCGGCGGAGGAAGGGGGGGGCGGCGGCGGCGTGTGCGCGGGTCTGTGTGTGTGAGTGTGTGTGTGCGTGCGTGTGTGCCGCAGGGAACGGCGAGGCGAGCCTTGCCCCCCCCGCCCCGTCCCTCCCCTGCTCCCCCTCCCCTCCCCTGCCCGCCCCCGCCTCAGCTCCTTTAATACACTTTGGTTCTCCGCTCGCTTTTGGACTCTGCTCTGCCTGGCTCAGGATACGGCTCCGCCGGCGGCGACAGCGGCGGTATCGGGCCGGTGCGGGCGCGGGCGGCGGCGGAGGCGGGGGGACGCGGCGGCTGCCGGGGGGAAGCGGAGCGGCGGCGGCCCCGCGCCCGGCTGGGCGGGCGGCGGCAGCCCGGCGGCGGTAGCAGGGAGGCGGCGGCGGCGGCTGCGTCCCCGGAGCGGCGCGGACCATGCTGCTGGACGCCGGTCCGCAGTTCCCGGCCCTCGGCGTGGGCACCTTCGCCCGGCACCACCACTCGGCCGCGGCGGAGATGCAGGACCGGGAGCTGAGCCTGGCGGCGCAGAACAGCTTCGTGGACTCGGCAGCGGCGCACATGGGCGCCTTCAAGCTCAACGCCGGCGCCCACGACCTCTCCCCCGGGCAGAGCTCGGCGTTCACCTCGCAGGCGCCCGGTTATCCCGCCGCCGCCCTGGGGCCCCACGCCGCCCATGTCGGCTCCTACTCCGGGGCGCCCTTCAACTCCACACGGGACTTCTTGTTTCGCAGCCGGGGCTTCGGGGACTCGTCGCCGGCCGGCGGACAGCACGGCATCTTCGGCCCTGCGGCCGGCAGCCTGCACCACCCGCACACGGACGCTCAGAGCCACCTCCTCTTCCCGGGCATCCACGACCAGCACGGCCCCCACGCCTCCCAAAACGTCCTCAACGGACAGATGCGACTGGGCTTGCCGGGGGAGGTATTCGCCCGCTCGGATCAGTACCGCCAGGTTTCCAGCCCCAGGACTGACCCTTACTCGGCGGCTCAGCTGCACAACCAGTACGGCCCCATGAATATGAACATGGGCATGAACATGGCAGCCCACCACCACCACCACCCAGGTGCCTTTTTCCGATACATGCGGCAGCAGTGCATCAAGCAAGAGCTCATCTGTAAGTGGATCGACCCCGAGCAGCTGAACAACCCCAAAAAAAGTTGCAATAAAACTTTCAGCACCATGCACGAGTTGGTCACCCACGTCTCGGTAGAGCACGTTGGGGGACCCGAGCAGAGCAACCATGTCTGCTACTGGGAGGAGTGTCCCCGCGAAGGCAAGCCCTTCAAAGCGAAATACAAACTGGTCAATCATATCCGAGTGCACACGGGAGAGAAACCCTTCCCCTGCCCCTTCCCTGGCTGCGGAAAAGTTTTCGCCAGATCAGAAAATCTCAAAATTCACAAAAGGACGCACACAGGTAATTCGGGTTTCGTTCGGCAGATTTCCCCCCTCTGCCCGTGCCTATATATGTATATATATGTATAAACTGATAGAGACTCAGACAGTGATGTAAAATGATGAGAGATAAAATAAGCTTCCAGTTTAATTTCCCACATATACACACTATCACACGGCTGCTTTTGTTTTGGTTTCCTCCCCACCAGAATACACTTCCCTCCATCCCAGATTTCGAAAGGATGTTTTACTGATTTGTTTTAATTTGCGGGGTGAGAGGTGTAGATTCGTGCCGAGTCTCAGCGGGATCTTTCCGCAGAAACGCGGAATACAGCGCAAACTAAATTCTGCCGTCCTGCTAAAATACGGGAAGACACCTATCTTTTTATCTATCCATCCATCCATCCACATGAAACGCCTTATACATTTGCTATACGCAACGTATTTGCATACAACTTCAGCGCTTGTGAGCACGGCTTTTATGTATGCATACCGAAAGAGAGAAACTATATAAATACGTGCAAAATCCGTCATTAGTCCTAAATCCCGTTGGAAGTGCCAAAAGTCCCTTTCTGGGAATGCTTTCCATTAAATTTAAATGCTGTGAGCAAGGCAATAAAATTTTCTCATTTAAAAAAAAATGTTTTTAAAGTCTCACTCGATGTGATTTAAGGTGTTTTTGCAACAGTTTATTAAATTATGTAATAAGGAACAGAGGATTTGAGGCTTGGAAACTTCCACCCCAATCAGGTGGAAGAGGGTCGAGGGAGCCCTGGCTTTCCCGATGGAAAAGAGCCTGAGCCGAAGGGTAACAAAAATTAACGCATCCTCCCGCCTCATCTATTATTCATTTACTACTCCTGCCGGCTCGAACTGTGCCAGACTATTTCATAAAAGACAGCCAAATATTTTAGCGACTTGCACTCCAAATATTTACCCGGAGAAAGGCTAAAAATCTCGAGGCCTATTGTTTTCTCAAGTGCTAAGCCCGATGCGAGGTGCGAGACGAGCTTTAACAAGGTTTAAAATTTGAGAAATGTATTTGCATGAGATGCCCGCACTGAAGTCATTGTGTCTGAGCGGATGTCTTTAAGAAACAATTTGGGTGCTAATGGAATTTAATGTTAAATGCTTCCCCCTTCCAAAGGCGGGGGGATGTGGAGTTCTCACCTCCAAATTACTCCCCGGCATTTGGAGTCCTGGCAGCCGGGTGAGAGGAATCCCTATGAAAATTAGATGAAGTATTTTACAGACGCTTAGTTTTCCCAGCGGATGTGCATTTATCTCGAATATCCATACACGAAACAATATGCCCGGCCTTAAATCTGTCGGTAATGGTTTCCAGTTTAACAGGATAGCGGATTTGGTACCGAGGTGAAACGTCTCGATGCTGCTCCCTTTTTTTTTTTTTTTTAATCATCGCCTTTCTTCTTCAATCTCTTTCGGGGCTGGCTGTGTGTGTTGGCACTGGTCGAACTAAAATCGGGCAAGATGCCGGGACGGGGGTGCCCCGGGTGTTTTGGTAGGAAAACCAGATAGGGGACGGGGGTTGCCTCCCTGCGGGACAACGAGTGAGCAGCGCGGCCCTCCCGCGCTGCAGGTACCGGGACAGAACCGGCCTCTTGCTTTGGGAAACTGCTGGACGAAGTGACTGGGTGAGGGGGGGGAAGAGGGGAGGAAAGTTGGCCCGAGGCTGCGCGGGGTTTGAGTGGGGGCGATCGCGCTCACCCCGCAGCTGCGCAACTCTCTTACAGGGGAGAAGCCCTTCCAGTGCGAGTTCGAAGGCTGTGACCGTCGTTTCGCCAACAGCAGCGACCGCAAGAAGCACATGCACGTCCACACCTCGGATAAGCCCTACTTGTGCAAGATGTGCGACAAGTCCTACACGCACCCCAGCTCCCTGCGGAAACATATGAAGGTACCCGGCCCCGCAGGAGGCGGCGGGAGGCGGGAGGGCGGCCGCGCCGCGCCGGGCGCCCCGACGGGGCGGTGGGCGGCGGGCGCGGGGCCCAGGGGCT